TTAAAACTGACAAAGTCTCATACAAACTTTCATCCCCTATTTTACCCCCTTGGGGGGAAATTATCAAAATCCTTTCACAGTGGATGCTTACGTCATAACATCTATCTGCATGCCAAATTTCAACCTGATCGGTTTAAAACTGACAAAGCCTCATACAAACTTTCATCCCCTATTTTACCCCCTTGGGGGTGGAAATTATCAAAATCTTTCAAAGCGGATGCTTAAGTCATAACATCTATCTGCGTGCCAAATTTCAACCCGATCGGTTTAAAACTGACAAAGTCTCATACAAACTTTCATCCCCTATTTTACCCCCTTAGGGGTGGAAATTATCAAAATCCTTTCACAGTGGATGCTTACGTCATAACATCTATCTGCATGCCAAATTTCAATCCGATCAGTTAAAAACTGACAAAGTTTCATACAAACTTTCATCCCCTTTTTTACCCCCTTGGGGGTGGAAATTATCAAAATCCTTTCTTAGCGGATGCCTACGTAATAACATCTATCTGTATTCCAAATTTTAGCCCAATCTGTCCAGCGGTTTGGGCTGTGCGTTGATAGATCACTATGTCAGTCAGTCAGTCAGTCAATCACCTTTGAATTTTATATATATTATCAATTATCAAAATCCTTTCACAGTGGATGCTTACGTCATAACATCTATCTGCATGCCAAATTTCAACCTGATCGGTTTAAAACTGACAAAGCCTCATACAAACTTTCATCCCCTATTTTTACCCCCTTGGGGGTGGAAATTATCAAAATTCTTTCAAAGCGGATGCTTAAGTCATAACATCTATCTGCGTGCCAAATTTCAACCCGATCGGTTTAAAACTGACAAAGTCTCATACAAACTTTCATCCCCTATTTTACCCCCTTAGGGGTGGAAATTATCAAAATCCTTTCACAGTGGATGCTTACGTCATAACATCTATCTGCATGCCAAATTTCAATCCGATCAGTTAAAAACTGACAAAGTTTCATACAAACTTTCATCCCCTTTTTTACCCCCTTGGGGGTGGAAATTATCAAAATCCTTTCTTAGCGGATGCCTACGTAATAACATCTATCTGTATTCCAAATTTTAGCCCAATCTGTCCAGCGGTTTGGGCTGTGCGTTGATAGATCACTATGTCAGTCAGTCAGTCAGTCAATCACCTTTGAATTTTATATATATAGATTAACTTTTTAGTTTATCTGCTTAGGTAATGGGAATAAATATGGTTGCTGTCCGAAGCAATATGCAATAACTATGGCATGGGATTCAATGGTGTATCCACTACAACGACGGTATGCCTAAATGGGACAAACGTCTTCACCACAAACGGCTCAAAACAATAATTACCAGCAAGGTGAGCAGCAGAACCAGCACAATACGTCGTTACTGATAGATGAGAAGGTGCAAATGAGAGGGTGTCGACGCAGGTTGCGTCCCACACCAAAGACTTTCCCAACTTCTAGGACATAATGGACATACCGTCAGGTCTCAACATCGTCGCGCGCAAAGCCCTTTGGTTCCAAAACAACTGGCACTCCGGCGATGACAAGAGCTCAACGGATAATATCGTTAATGTTGGCGTGTCGGGCTATCCGGCCCGCGTTTCTACCGTTGTGACCGAGGTAGTTGACCATCTCAGCGCATTGACAGCGATGCGGAGTAACATAGGATGGACCTAGACGCAAACAAGCAGCAAGCCGAAAGGTTGAGTCATTCAACATCGTGACGGAAGTCGTTGAAGCCAGAAGCCTGACCTACTCACCCACAGTCAATAGGCGAGTTAGCTCCGCAGAATTGGTGCTCGTATTAATGTGGTTATTAATTATCATCATTATCACCAACCTGCAAAGCGGCTCGTACTGTTATCTCTAGGAGGATGGGTCGACAGGAAAAGCTTTAGGTACCTATTGGGACATTTTTGTATCGAGCCGTTCATCGCGTCGGTCAGACGTGGCACCTCGGGTTCAGGGATAACAGCGGCTATAATTTTTTTGGTTAAGGTTCTGGTGATGTGATCATTATTTAATTTATGTTTTTGACCGCCGACTGATTCAACTAATTGCCGCCATATTCTATCAGTATGTGTTGCCAATTTATTTTTCAATATTTCCTTCTCATGGGTCTCATAAAGAGGCAAAATATGTAAAAAAATCTCACTTGTTTGTAAATTAAAAATAAAATAATATTTTTATTAATAATTGAACTAACTTACCTACACTTTAATGTACTATTTATTCTGACTAAAAAAAGATAATTCGTTTCGATTTTCGACAGTTATTTTGAAATGAATAATCGATTTAGTTACTTATATTTTTTGATGGAAAGAGTGCAACTGCAATAATATTTTATAAATTGGTTTTATAGAAATAATGTTAAAAATGTCTTATTATGAATATTTAATTATTCTTTTCATAAGGAAAATAAATTACCTAAATGTCAAAATATAAATATCAACGAAGTGTCAAATAAAAAAAACTTGAAAACCACATTCAAAGAGATGGTTGTTAATTTTTTTATTACAACTTCTAAATGATCCTGGTACATGTAGTACAACAAGCCGCACGCACACACGCTATAATTTTGGAACGTCATTTTTGTTGCTAGGTATTGTATGGTGACGCTCTATCTAGACATTTAAAAATAAAAATAAAAAAGTTTATTTCAATTAGAACAGGCATTACATAAAATTATTGGAGATCACCTTTTAAGCACTAAGACACCCTAGAAAGATAATCTACGTCTTTGAGACGCATGACCGACACAAATATTGCTATACCTTATTTATTTCGTATCGTAGCGCTCTGTCCTTCTAGGTTATCCCAGTGGCCGGGCAGACCTTACGCGAGACAGTTATGTCGCCCTGGTAAGTACAATAATTACGTAGATACGGGTATGGCGTACGTTCGAGAGACGTATGATTATCCTTTGTGTAACTTTTGAACCTTATTCCCTGTAGTAATAGTTCGTTTTATTTATCGTTTTTTTTTATATGTTAGTTAGGTGATTTTGGTAGTCTATTGTAATGACTGGACGCAGGGCCCTTGATTATAACCAAATTGTAAAAATATTGGAGAACAGTGAAGATGAGATTGGTCAGTTGATTGAACAGTCAATTGGTTGACGAAGTTGCTGGGTCAACATCGGAGGAATTGCAGGTACCATCATCTCCGTCATGTTTACCAAACCAAGATTCAACTTCAAATTTTTGTAACGATTATTATTCCAACTCAACGTATACTGCGCGGGAGAAACAAACATTGCAATTAAGGGTCAAAATAGAAGAAGAATTATAAATATAAACATAGTACGAACTTCTAGAAGGCCTATTCGCACGTGTAAAAATATTTATTTGCCTGCTTTATGCTCTCAATTATTTATAACTGATGAGATTATAATGAAATAGTGCAATGGACCAACGCTGAACTTATATCACCTTGGATGGAGAAAAGATCAGAAGCTCCTACTTTTAAAAGACATGGCCGTGTAAATATCCAAGTTGCTACCGAGAATTAATACTTTAGATGATAATGAAGAACCAGGAAACAAAAACAAGAGATAATGTGCGTATTGTCCGTCAAAAATAAGAAGGGACATCCTTCTTATTTTATGATAATGATATGTTATAAATGCAATGACAGCATTTGTGGTGAACAAAAAACTGATATATGTAAAGGCTGTATCTAAATGTGATTGAAACTTAAAACTTGTTGATTTTTTATAAGAAGCTCTTAATTAGTTCTTATTCCATAATATTAAGTAAAAAAAACTGTGAAATTAAACTTAATATTAACACAATTACTCAACAAAGGAAGACTTAATATTTATTAGTTATTTTGTAAGGGGCTTACAAAATTTCGTTATATTTTTAAATTATATTCATTTTCTTATTGTAATTAAGTATGTTTTTATTTGTCGTAGAAAACTTTAAACTAATGATTTAATAACGGCGGTTATAGAAACTTGTCCCATATGCACTTATAAATGCGAATACGTCTCAAAGACGTATGATTATCTTTACCGTAGGTCAAAATAAGATTATCTTTCTGGGGTTAATACGTCCATGCTAGACATAGATTGTGTCGAACAGAAAAGGACGTCCTTTTGTTCAGTTGACGCTTGACGTTTGAACGGACGGTTGGACCACAGACTTAAAATAGATAAGCAGACCGAACATGGGCAAAAAAATCGACAATTTGTTTTAGTCAACCACAAAGTAATTGAAAACCTACCGATGAAAGGTTATTCCAGGTATTTTCTTATAGCTGTCACATCGGTAGGCACTGCACTTCACCATTTTACTCACATTTTACATTTTATTTAATTTTTTTTTTACATTTTAAACGTTTAATGAAATTATTAATGGTTTTCTCATAAACAATGCATATTTTCCTTTATAACGAGATTGACAAAGTTGTAGGTAAAATTATATCAATATATCGGCGCGGAAAAACTGGCTACATGTCAATATTTATCTATGTGAGGAGCAGTGTGGCTACAGGTAAAAGAACGGGACGCCATTACTAGGTTGGAGCTTGACGGAACAAGGGCAAAGAATGACGGATATCTTAGACGTATAACTAAGAGGTAATGTTCGGTCATTCGGTCTGCTTAACTATTGAAGTCTGTGGGTCGGACGGACGGGGAATCGGCGAAGGGCGATAGTTTTCACTCGTAGTACGTACCGCACCACTCAACTCGCCATTGTCACTCGTCGTCACTCACACCCCTCTATTATTATTACTTAACTTAAAATAATTTGCCAAAACAGTTTTCTGTGTTGCTATTTAAGAAATATTAGGGCAGATATTCACTATGATCGTAAGCAATGCATGGTAAGAAAGTTTTGTGTGCACCCAGCTTAACTTTATTAGAGATGAGTTTGACGTATTTGACACAAACAAAACAAGTGTCATGTTGACTGCATTTTTAGCATTTCATTGTTTACAAATTAGTTGAAATTAATTTCGATTGCGCGATCTTTGATTTAGCATAAAATAAGATGTCTATTGGATCAGTTTATGAAACTGCATATAGAGGAGACTTTAACCAAGTTAAAGTAAAGGTTGACGAAGATCATGGATTAATAAATGCACCAGACTCAGTAAGATTATATACTTTTATTCTAATAGAATGTATGATTTATTAGATGATGCTGTATTTGGACCGGCTGCCAGAACATGTAATTATCCGGCCGGCTACCATGTAATATAATCCAATATAATTTAGACTTAAATGCTTTCGTAGCAGTTTAGTTAACTATGTTGAACTTGTTTAAATATTCACAGGTTGTAAGTATGATAAGTTTACAAAAAAATGAACTATTTAATGAGGTATACCCTCATAATGACCAGGATATATATTTTAATAAAACTGTTTCCTTTTCAGAATCAGCGACTTCTTATTCATTGGGCAGCACTGGGTGGGAATCAAAACTTAGTGGACTTTTTGTTAGACTTTGGAAGTCCTGTTGATCCTTTAGATGACACCAATTCAACTCCTTTAATACTAGCCTCTTCAGCTGGAAGATTAGAAGTAGTAAAGTTATTGCTAAGCAAAGGAGCTAATGTTAATAAGAAAACAACTAGAGGCCAGTCATCTTTGCATTATGCATGTTCAAAAGGTCATGTAGAGGTAATTACAGTAAAATAAAAAATGCTGTTTTTACACTAATAAATCTTTAGTACTCAATAAATCATTTGTATTCTCAGGTCTCTAAGTTGCTATTAAACTTTGACGCAAATGTCAATGACACTGATGTTTTAAGTGCAACTCCTCTACATCGTGCTGCAGCACAAGGTAGAAACAATATTGTTGAACTCCTTTTGGCATCACCTCAAATAAAAGTAGATATGTGTGACTCTACTGGTTCAACACCCTTGTAAGTATTCTTTTATTTTATTACATTTTCTCTCACAAAATTTTGATATATTAGCAAACGACTTTGTACCCTACAAAGTCGTTTGCTAATATATCAAAATTTTTTAGACATATAGCATGTGAAGAAGACAGAGAAGCAGTGGCGTGCATGCTCGTCAAAGCTGGAGCAGACTTGAGGTTGGTTAACAAAGAAAAAAAGACACCCCTCGACTTGTGTTCTGTTAAGTTGAGTAATGTTTTGTCTACCTTGGTGAAATAAAAAGAATGTATATTTCAATGTAATGTTTATTTTAATAAAACAATTTTCATAAAAGTTACTTATTTTATTTATCCTATGAAACAATTAATAAACAAGTAATAATGAGAGAAGATACATCCTAAGAGGTAACTGGGCCATTTTAGATACATACCTACATAACTTCATGCCTGTCTCCCATGGCAGGCAGAGACTAAGAAACGCCAATTTATTTTACAATTCTTACATTTTCTTCGGGTCTATAAACCTGAAAGCCAATATATAACCCGGTGAACAAAAAAAATGTGACAATACAATGTTAGTTGGTCGCTAGTCGCAAGTTAAATTCCAATTAATTGCATATGGAATGGATGGGAACATTCCCAATCAATAATGTAAACAATGATAATAGGTTGCTTATAGATCTTCTCTCATTTAATAAATTCTAACTTTATAACTAATTAATAAGTAATGGATAAATCCAATATTGAAACCTTTTTTGATGTAAATAATGCTATTTTACCTAATTATTATTTCTTAGTGGGAGGAATGTTTCTGATTTATTTAGTGTATCGAATTTTTCATTCCTTAATTGCTGATAATAAATATTTGCGAACAAGGTACCTGATCCGGGGTCATACATGGAGAAGTGTTTGTGACCAAAATGTAAATTAGAAAAGCTAACATTGCTGCTCGGCCACAGCACGGCTCGTATCGGCGCTTACCACCAAGCCCGACTACTGCAACCCCTCGCCTGCTGTTGCAGGCAGCGAGTGAATCCGCCGAGACAGGCATCAGCCTGGATCGTGCGTCCTCACGCCCCCAGCCGGTGACGTTGAGATGAACCCAGCAGATCAGAGTAGTTATTTTATTTTGAATCCTATTAGTGTTCCCACTAGACCACTTATTGTCAAACCTGGCAATAATCAAGAAGCATTCAGTGTAATAAATCTATACCCTACAATATACAGGGTGACTTGTAACTCGACGTATTCGTCTCGGGAGGTGATAATACAACTAATTTCCTATGAAAGTAGCCCTGAGGTCCCTGGTCCGAAAGTGACTAGTTTCTGTGAAAAAATCCCTATGAAACTACAAAAACACTACTTAATAAATAAAAAACTACTGGTTTGATTTTAGTGATTTTAGGTAGGTATAGGTACATACCTATTGATAATAAATTAAAACTAATTGATGTCAATACTTAAACAATTTTTAATTAATACTCATACTTTCAGAAATATCATTCGTTTTAAAATAGCAAGTAAATTAATACTTAATAGGTATCTTTCTTTCAAGTCCCTAATTTGGTCAATAGAAAACTGAAATTATTAAAAAATTATTAGAAAAACTTCCTTAGTTTATTGGCTAGGTACCCAAAAACTTTAAATTATTTATAAAATCATCACCTCCCGAAAGGACTACGTCGAGTAACAAGTCACTCTGTATGAATCTTATAGAAATAATAAAAGTTTTTTTTTTAAAGAAATCAATATCAAATCAACAGAGGAACTTTGGGGACTACCTATAGGTAAAAGTTTGGGAGAACCTAACGGGTAACCGGGGCTCCGGCTCGACGTGCAGGAGAAGGAACGGGGTGGTTTTTAGTCAGTAAGAGTCTGACACTCCCTTCCGCCTCACCCAGGCGGGAGCAGTCATTCGATGATTTTCCCCCCTTATAAAAAAAAAAAAATATTAGGTAAAAGTTTGCAACTCACTCATTCAAACTCTAGCGCCGTATCTGGCTGTGATTTTCAATAAAAGTATAGATGGCGGTGTTTTCCCTGGCCTAATGAAATGTAGTAAAATTATTCCACTATTTAAAAGTGGTGAAACTAAAAACCAAACAATTATAGGCCTGTATCTGTTTTGCCGGTTCTCAGCAAAGTGTTTGCTGTCTCGGATACTCCATCATTTTTACAAACATTCTATTTTTCACCAATAACAATATGGTTTCACTAAAGGTTGATGTACAATTGACACCGGTGTCGGTGTCACTTTAATGATGGTAATATTTGGTGCTTGGGAGGAAGCACAAGATGCTATTGGTCTTTTGTGACCTCTCAAAAGCGTTTGATTGAAATGACCATGAGACACTTTTCCTGAAATCAGATCACTACGGGATCAGAAATACCGCGCTCCGTCTAATGAAATTGTATTAAGAAGAAAGGCAATTAAAGGTTCATGTTAACGGTATTAACGCAGGGCTCCGGGATCAATATCTATTTTTTTTTAGTCTATATAAATGATTCGCCATTTATATTCAAGAATGAACCAAGAATGGTGCTTTTTGCAGATGAGACATCATTAATTATTAAAAGTCAAAACTAAAAAGCAAAAAATAACTATGATTAATACTGATAGATTACCCACCCACTGATAGGTAAGAAGTCGGTGCCATAAGTTCCATACAAAATTATTCATTAAAACCTTAATAGGTACCTAATTCACAATTATGTGGACATTAAGTTATATCATTATGATATGAGCTTATGGCACCGACTTCTAACCTATCAGTGGGTGAGTAATCAGTACTAATCATAGTTATTTTTTGCTTTTTAGTTTTGACTCTTTGTATGTTATTAGTTTTTTTGAAGTCGGTTTTTTAAACGCAGTTTTTATTTTATTATTTTATCATTTTCAGTGTAAAGCTATAAATACCCGTTTTGTTGCTTATAATCTACATAGGTGCAAAGTTCTAATCAATACAAATTAATCAAGCCCAAACACAAGGTAGTTACTGTATACCGTTGAGGAGTTCTTTTAACAATTACACTTCTTCATCATCAGACCCTTAATGACAGCCCCAATCTTTCTAGGTATAAAGTCCTCATCAATACAAATTAATCAAGCCCAAACACAAGGTAGTTAATATAAACCGCTGAGGAATTCACTCAACTGTCTGTTGGCTCCATCATCAGGTCGACTCCAGACCCTTATCAAATTGTAGTGTTTAAAAATCCTAATTAAAAAACATAATACACGCATTACTCGCCCATAGAATTTTCGAAAGTTCCCCTCGTTTTCCCTAGGATCCCATCATCAGATCCTGATCTCATGGAAATGGGACCATCTCGGGAGTATACCCTTTCAAACAAAACAAGAATTTTCGAAATCGGTCCACAAATGGCGGAGTACTGCGTGAACAAACAAAAAAAAAACAATCAGTCGAACATAGTACCTCCTCCTTTTTTTGAAGTCGGTAAAAATAGATCGACGTGCGAATAATCCGACGAGACGGTATTTTTAAGCATTACGTTAGAGAATAGGCTACAATGGGGTCCGCATATAAAGGTACTTTCGGGGAGATTAAGCTCAGCTGCTTTTGCAGTTAGACAGACTACTATTTTAGTTCTTTCACAGCATTATGTCGTACGGCCGTTTGTTGTGGGTTTGAGCTGCAGAAATTGAATCAATTTTTATTCTTCAAAAGCGGGCCATCCGAGCTATATATAACTTACGCCGTTGCGAATCCCTAAGAGAATTGTTTAAAACGATAAATATCTTAACCGTACCCTGTCAATACATATATGAAAAAAATACAATTTTTACACCAAATAAATATTATTTATTTAGATATTATATTATTCATTTATAATGTTTACATACATAAAAAATAGGCAATTGTTCGAAAAAAAAGAAGCGAATGCGATAGACACAATCTTAGTACTAGAAGCAAAAATGTTAATAGATTTGGTACATACAACAATAGTAGATAAAATAGTTTTTATCACTAAAACCTTATACCTTATATCACGGGAACGGGCACTGTACCTACTGGTAAAATCCCTGCGGGATTAAATCGGTTCTAATGAAATCTGCCAGAAGTCATTATTCTACGTAGACGAAGCCGCGGGCATGCGGGTTAGTTATTTAAATTAAAATGTCCCACCATTTCAGTGCCATTGTTTGATGCACACTTTATAATCATGACTGTAAAATAGTACGGAAATTTAAATTTTAATATGTAGATTTATTATATTTTAGATATATTTATTTATTTTATACTTATTCATCAACGTCATTCCGATTCCTTATCGTCTTGTCACGTTTATTATGTGCGGTCTTCCACAGGGTTCGGTATTAGGACCACTGCTGTAGAAAATCATGTAGGTACTGTCCTTGTCTGGATGAATCACAAAGTAACATTACCTTACGTTATTATTTAGATTAAGTCACCACGAGTCATGCAGACACTTGTTACTTTCTATAATCTATACAGGTACAGGTACAGGTAAATTACATAACATCATGCCTTTTATCCCCGAAGGGGTAGGCAGAGGTGCACACAGAAGTAACACCCACTTTTCACTATTTATGTTATGAGTCCCATGTAATAGGGGGTGAGCCTATTGCCATATACCGGGCACATTTCCAGACTCCATGCTACTAGGTACTGAGATTTTTTTTTTAAATCCCGTAATATTTTGCCCGACCCGGAAATCGAACCCGAGACTCCTTGCCCGGCAGTCGTACTTGCGACCACTCAGCCATCGAGGCAGGTACGAAATTACAAAATGGTAAAAAGAAAACAATGTTCAATAACAATAATTTTAATATACAACCACCACATGGAAATCTAAATATCATCTAACACTACCGAACAAGTCCTATGACTAATTGGACACATTTCGTCTAGTGTAGAAGGTATATTCCCTTTAAAGTACCTACACAATACTTTACATCAACAACTTATAACAATTGTTAATCGTGACTATCTGACACAGAATAAAGGTCATGAACACAGATCGAGCATATTTATTATGTGGTCGATATTTTTTAAGGATGGAGACAATCTGAGGCATTGCTACCAGCCTGTCTTTATGATCTCTTCTAACATTTTCGAGTGTTAATTTTACACACATTTGTGTAGGACATAAAGTAAATAAAACATATATTTATATTTCAAACATAGTGCTCCGTAGTATTACATTTCTGAGATATTTAAGTTTTGGATCACATACCAAATAGCAGCAATTAAAAATGACTGGAAATTATGATATTTTATGTTTAGGTTATAGTTA